GGTTACACATAGGAGAGATTACGAATCTAAATCATAGATGAAAAAAGCTACTATGCCATGATATGAAACAGCACTTCAAATCAGACACTGACGTCGGTAGGTAAGATTTTCTTCTTGTCGGTAGGAAAAGCACTACTGGGTTTGATTCCCCCAACGCTACCACCTTTTTAGACTTTTGTTAGAGCTTTGCATTCATTTCCTTAATGTTTTTAACCCAATGTCTGTGAGATGTTTATTGCTCCCTGGATGGTGACATCTGATCTGAATGTAACCACACACCTCTTTGCTCAGCAGTATTTGTCACAAACCATTATAAATTATCATGCTGATTGTGTGCATTGCTGGGAAACTGGAGAAGTTTCATAAATTCTAACTACCGTATCAATGACATTCTTGTTTATTATACAGATATAAACTTTTATGAGAGTCAAGATGTCTGCCTTACCATTGAAGAAAACTTTAGTGGAGTAAGATCTAACTAGTTCAATGTAAATACTGAAAGCCATTTTCAATGTGCAATGAACATGTCATTCCGAGAACTCTCCACTGGTCACTTCTTTGTTGCTTTTCTACTTTTAATTATGTTTTGACACTTCACAAGTGTGCAGGATTTTGCTAGCAAAAAAGAAATCAACATTCCTTCCTCTCCCTTAATACCTGCTTCGGTGAGCATTCTCTAGAATCCTCTCAAATGAATAATAAAATCATGCATATATCTAGCTAGAAATCCCAGGCCTGTGTTAGCCCTGCAGACAGACACTCCACTGCTCTGTTGACTGACTGATTTACACCAATTCTTGTTCAGTGAAAGAATTAAGGGGTTATAGTATTATGGTTCTGATGCTTATTTGAAATGAAACCTCATTCAGTGGTGGCATAGACACAGAATGTTACATTTTAAAACTAACTGGGGCACAACTTACACATTTAATTTTCCTAATGAAATATCTACCTTTGATAGCAAAACTTAACTGCAAAAACTTAACAACCATTTTGCAAAGTATGGTCCAGAATTTCTTATGAACTGGGTCAGTCTTGGTGCTATTCACATGAGAAGTTGTGACTGTATACTGTATTGTTAAGATTATGAAATGATGTTTTTTACCTAATTATATATAAAACAATAACAATCTGAATAAAAATATTTTTTTTCTGCCAGAACTATGTGGCTGGTCTAATGACTTAACCATCCCTATACTCTGCAAAAGAAAACTGTTTACTTGGGTTTCAAAGGTGTTTCACAATAAGCAAATGTGCTAAGACATCGATTTCTTAAGCTTTCTCAGGGTGAAAGTTGACTGTACAAGTACTGACCATTTCAACAGAAAATGCAGGGTGTATCATGTGCAAATCATCTCATTACTGGATCAACAGATTTAGTTTGACGTACGTTTAGTTTCATATTTCCAAATGTTCTAATAATCACCAACTTGTTAAAGATATCATAATAATGATAACTTATTTTGAGGGTCACTTTTACCTTTTAAAAGGGCTTTCCTATCTACTACTTGATCCTACTAGTAACCCTATGACATCAGTATAGCAAATATTTTTTACTGCCAACAGACATATAATGTAGCTGAAACAAGGAAAAGTATTAAATATCTTAAATAAGATGAATAGTTTGTTCTTAAAAGGAGTGATAACTAAAAGCTCACCAGCTTTCTGAATGTGGTTTTAACTGTGCCTAGTTTTGTGCCACTTCAAATCCACTTTTGTAAATAACCTGATATAAAGTACAAAAAAAACACAACAAAAACCCTAATAACAAAACCATGTGTTTAGGAATCTAATCTAAACTTTGAAGTCTATGAATTTGTTCTTCAAAGAATTTCTGGTGTTCCTGTGTTTTTTGTTTTTTGTTTCTTGGAGTATTCCAATCCCCTGTAAAATTTAGAACTGTGGATTCGTCTCAAAGCCTTCACAAAAGGAGGTAAGAATTTTGCCACATTTGTAGAATCTCAAATGCACCCTTCAACACTGAGCACGAGTCATTCATATGAATCAGCTTAGAAAGATAGTGAAAGGAATGCCTTATGCTGGTCTTCCTGTATGTTTCTGGAGTTTCTCATTGATAAAAAGATCACATTGCAACACTTCAAAACACAGCGCGAAGATATTTTCCATGGATCTAATCTCCAGTGACTTCATCAGGCTAAACATATCAGCCTTTCAACTTTGGTCAGGAGATGGCACCTTCACAGAGAGCAAAGCCTCAGTTGGGACAATTAAGAAATCACCTTACTCTATAGCATTAAAAAAGCAAAGTCACCATCATAAGGTTGTTATGTAACATCTTCTCAGTCATGTCAGTTTCTCAAATACTTTGCTGATATCACTAAAATTGTCATTTTCTGTGAATTACAATAATCCTTTATTGTACTTTTTAAAAAGAAAACTAACCAAAAAGGTGCTCCTTTAATCCCTTCATACCCCACCTGACACCATGATATGACAAAACATTATTTAAGGTTAACTGTGAGCTAGACACCACTGTAAGCTAGACACTATCGTAATAGTGTGAGATGCTGTTGTAATAATTAGTATACGCTGATTATTTGGAAACTGATCATCAGCCTATGGATTTATGCTAATTCTCTAGGCACCAAAATGTTGAATGAACCGGATGACGTCATTTCCCTGACCATGAAAAGCTAGTTTACCACACCAACTCAACAGGTTGTTGAGTGCTTTCTACAGGTAGGAAGATTTTTATATTACTCTGTTCTTTCCCAGAAGAAATGTGTGTGCAAATAGAATTGTAAGCCCTTTACATATATTAAGTGATTCAACTGGCTTCCCTTCTTAAATTTCTACTACTGTTGTGTGCTGGATCTGGCGCCCACCAGCTCATAAGAACCAACTGTGCACATTTCTTTGCTAGTCTGGGCAGTGACATCACATGGGTAGTTTGAAATTGGCTATGATGAGAGTATTCACACCACAGAAATTGGCATGTGCTACATACAGATCAGGACTTGACTTGTCTTCTCCAAAGAGCCAGCTGTTAAACATTTACCACCACACCACTGCCAATAACTAGTGATTATTCTGAATTCTTTAAGTATTATGTTACACGTATTGATGGTCATGATTTCCAGATTAGAAATTAGTAAACGTCAGTTTATTGAATTCTAACAGCACTTTATTTTTTGGAATAATGTTATTACTTGAGTAAGTTTTACCAGAAGTTCTTCTATAGCAGTTTAAACATGGTCAAAAAGCAAATACCACTACTACTACTACTACTACTACTACTACTACTACTAATAATAATAATAATAATGAAGTATATGAAATATAATAGAAAACAAGTATCCAGATTGTGTAGGTGATTGACACTGTAAAAACCACCATAAAGAATATTAGCAAAATAAATAAATAAATACAATGAACTCTTTGTTTCCAAGCAGTCACTGTAACACTATTAATGGTAATTTCCATACACAATTAAAAAGTCAATATAATGCCCTGAAGCATTTCTGAATCACAAAGCAAAGATTAAATTGGAATTGGTGTAATTTTATTGCACTGTAGTATACATTGATTATTTGGAAACTGATCATCAGCCTATGGATTTATACTAATTCTCTAGGCACTAAAATGTTGAATGAACCAGATGCCCTCATCTGCCTGACCATGAAAAGCTAGTTTACACCAACTCAACAGGTTGTTGAGCGCTTTCTACAGGTAGGAAGATTTTGATACTACTCTGTTCTTTCCCAAAAGAAACGTGTGTTCAAATAGACTGTCTTTAACAATGAATATACTTGCAAAATAATATTTAGGTCCAGTGGTAGCAGTAGTCTATAGATATCATACACAGTTACACCAAACTGACCCACTTTAAAACTTGCAAAAACCTCAGTCCCTGAGAAACACTTTAGAATTGAGATTTAAATTGATTATTTTTCTTTGATAAAACTATTTATATATGTACAAACTTAATAAAAGATGGATATTCAGGTTCAAGTCTCTGGAGACTACACCACTTTCAGTGCGTCAGAATGGGATAACGTGTAAAAGACAAAGACAGGGGGTCTGCTGGGTGTCAAGAGAGACCAGCAAATATGTATCCGAGTGGACTGCTACGTGCAAGGTAAAAACATACTTTCGATATTGTGGAAAGCAATATCCACATACCAGTTCTTTCACATAAAGTGAGGAAATATAATTTCGACTGTCTCGTAGCAAGAATATCTTCATAATAACGAAATCTGGCATAAGTTAATGTTTAGAAACTTAACAATAGAAAGAGATAGCAAGACTAAGCAGATGGATGAAACACTGATGTGTATTTGAGTTCCCATTGTATTCATTGTGTCTTACCAATTATTTTCAAGCATTTTCCATAAAAGTATTTTAATCAGTAATCCACTAGTTACAAAACCCCTCATCTGGCTTATCATGTAGGCCTTATTATTATTCAATGACAATTTGCTTTTTCCATGTCAAACTTAGTAAGAATAATTGTCATTATTCAATGACAATTTGCTTTTGCTTTTTCCATGTCAAACTTAGTAAGATGCCGTTCTTAATCATAAGATGTGCCACAGTTCAGTATATCTCAAATAGTGAGATCTCCAATCCCACTATCTGTGGATGCGATGTATATTAGCAATCCACTGTATTTCATAAAAATGCAAGTGAGATTTTTGAGTTTCTAGTTCTTCCTCTCTCCAGGAAAAAAAAAAAAAAAAAAGCAAAAAGAAACATACATAGTGTATACATTTCTTAACAAAAGAGTTCCCAAAGCAAACGTGCTAACAGGAAGGAGTATGAGAGATTACACATTTAACTATAATCTTCCTGGTTTGGGGAACTCAGAAATCACTTAATGTAATTCAATTTCTATACCATTGACATATAATCTGGCTGAGATTGGAATCCCTCCTGGATCCATTTATAATCTACATCGTACACACTGACTTCACCCCCCGTAGACAGGCGTGACCACTAGATGGTGCTGTGGTGCCCTGTTCAAACACATTCCCACTTACTTGCAATCTCTGTCCTCCAAATCGAAGTGAGGGTTGAAGTTGATCATAATTCTCTGGTATGGGTCCGGAGCCTGAATCAGCCATTCACATTTTTCACTTGGGTGATAAGAATGAGGATAACCAGGAGATGTAAGGTACCCGGGGCTTTCAATTTTTATAGTATCGCCACATTTATCTGCAATAAAAGTAAGATTTTAGTAGATCTTTCCTGACAACCTCTTAGGTAATCTAGCTTTATATATAAATTACCGGTTATTAAACATTCCCTAACTTTTTAAGGGGAACTTTAAAGGTCCCCGTAAGTCCTTCGTGTGGCCCTGAGTGCAACACTCCACAAAAAAACACTCTTTGATCTCAGGAAGGTTGACTCAGGCAGAAAGCCAACTGAGATCTGAGAGGACTCTTCGCCCAGTGCCGAAGTTTCTTCCTAAGGAAAAGGTCTTCTAGCATTAAAAACATTAAATCCCCTCAATTGATGTTAACATGGTCCCCTGGGAGCTTCTGCTAGACTTAATTATCCCCCAAGAAGTGTAATCACATTAAGTAGCAAGTTCTAAGTGGAAAGTGACTGAAAGATGCTGTTCGACCCCTTGTGTTGTTTTTTGATGATAAGCCTGGTCTATGTCATTGATCAGTGGGGATTGTCTTTGATTGGCTTAAAGCCAAACCTTTTGTTGTTGTTGTTTTATCTGCCCATAAATCTAAGTGATTTCGAGTTATCTCTGCTCTTGAGATCCAAATCAACAGAGAACAAAGTATATCTGGTGAAGCAGAAATAATTCTGCTTTACTTCTCCAAGTAAAGTTGTTCATTCTTAAAAATCAGATCAAAGCAAAGGGGCAGGGAAAAAAAAAAAAAAGTAAATAGCCACATGGCATTAATTCTAATTACCTAAATGTTGGGTGAAAAATAACCCACCACACAGGTGTGGGTATCACGTATGGTAACCCACATTCTCACATTCTGGGAAAGGTGAGCTAACTCGTTTTGAGCCTTCACTTCAAAAATGCTCAAGTGAAGCCAAATAAACCAAATAAACTAGTCTCTGGGCTGCCTTATTGTTCAGCATAGATTCTCATTGTCACATTTTATGATGGATTTCATACTGGAGCACCTCAGCCTGAAATGCTGCCACATTTATTGATGCTTAATTTTGAGCAATAAAAATTCGGTGCATAAACTATACAAGAGAAACAGGTATGAAAGCAGTGAAATATATAAGCCTATCAATCACAAATTTTCAGTAATGGTATATATAGATTTTAACGCTGCATCTAATAGATTCTCTGTGGAAAGAGAATGGCATTCTGTGCTCTCAGCATGAATTTATAAATCTACAGAATTTTATTACAGGAAAACCAGGTCAAATGGAAATGAAAGATGAAGTGCACATCAAAAATACGTAAAGCTACATGCATCACAGAAATCATTTCCCATAAATTAAAAAAGAAGACAATGTAAGTTATATTGTTTTTCTCAATCACTAAGTGCTTGACTTTGTTCCTTAGACTGGGGGTAGTCTTATTCTGGTTTCCTTTGCATTGGCTTGTAAAAGTGTAAGGTTTGCCAGGAAGAAATGATGTTGTAACTGGAGTTCAAAATCCCAGCTAATGATCATGTTGGACTCTGTTCTGTGATTCTACTGAGACTCTTGCATTATTCTGAATGTGCAGAAAACTTGGAAAGTGACCTCGTCTCATGAAGTCTCCTCCAGCTCTGGACAAACATCATGGTAGTGTCTGGCATCTGCTACAGGAGTGAAATAAAACAGCCCTGGTTCTAGTCACTCAGCAGAGTCACTTCAGAAGACATTTAGGTGGACTTGGTACCACACCAGAGCTCTTTAATCTGTGACTTCTGAGAAAGTGACAGTGTAATAAGATAATGTGGACTGCTAGACTCCCTGGCTCTGTTAAATCTCTCTAGCAGTTGATTAAGAAGGAGCAATTTCTAATGACTCTGGACCATTAGTCCTAAATAAGGTTAATGAATTAATTTAGCAGACACTGGTTACTTAGAGGAGGTGGACGTGGCTTTAAGAGGTTCTGCTGAGTTACAGTGGCATTTTCTGGCTCTGGTCACTTCAAGCATAGCAACTTGGCTTTTGCTGGTCAAGCTCACCAACTAAAGCCAGATTTTCAGCATTCCCCACATTTCTGCTAAGAAAATTAAGAAGTGTGTGTGTGTGTGTGTGTGTGTGTGTATACTGCATATATATTTGTGTAGTTCACAACCTAAAGTCTGATAGCTCTTTGCATTGAGCTTCAAATCTATCTTGTGAACACTCCTGCTATGGATTTAGTCTCAAAGAGTTGTGGAGGACAGGGTTCCTATAATTTCTAGTCCAACCATTTGAGCTCTTTCAGTTGGACGAGAATGCTATTTCATTCCCTGCCAGAGTATAAAAAGATGCTACCAGCTCAGGTTCATTAATAAATTGAACTCTACATTCATAATTTTTTGTGTCTTGCTTTCCTGCCAGATTATAGAAAAATGCCATCAACTTGGGTTCACTAATAAGTTGAACTCCATGTTCATAATTTTTTTTGCATGTGTTTTGCTTTAAGCATCTCTTTAGAATACTGCTTGGTAGCTGCTGAGGGAAATCCATTGCTGAAATCACAAAACCTTGAAAAAGCATATTAGAGAGATTAACTTCCATCATAAAGATGTGATTTAAATTCCTGTTGGTATGAGGCCCTCCACTCGCGGTCTCTTATTAAAACAATATACCACAGTAAGTAGTGGATGTTCTTTTCTTCTAATTACTGTGATTGAAATCTAAGCCAGACAAAAGTAAATATTTGATCATTAGTTAATAACAATTGCTGACGACTTACTGTAAAGATAATTGCATACCCTTGCCTGCACTTACTTTACAGTGTGAAGTCAAACATGCCTACAACCAGATCCCATTTTAAAACACATTATTTAGGTTACATGGTACTGTTTAGACCCCAGTATAGTTTTTCATTTACTTGACAGTGAGTGGTTTTAAAAGCTGAGTGGAAGCCGCAACTAGCTTAGGGATTTTCAGATATCCTGGTGCCTTACACTGTATATATCAGAGTACTGTATTGATACTATGTAACTTTCAGTCATACTCCAGACAGATTAGGGAAGATGTACAAAGGCGGGGGAGGGAGTTTCATCTACCCACAAACCGATATCTCTGGCCATCACCCACCAGAGGAAACGGCTTAGGGGCGCAGCAAAGGAACCAGGAAGTAAGATCTCCTGGTAAAGTGTTCATTAACTTTCAACAGCCATCAGATTTTTGAAAGGGAGTCTCTTCTAATTGCCTTTGGGAGGAAACATTATTAAGATAATTGGCGTGCTGATCCGGGAAGGTAGGCAGCTCTGTCTTGTAGCGGAGGTAAGGAAAAGCCCCACAGCCCAACGATCAACGTCAGGAGGGAGCCCAAAGACCTGAAATCCTCCTGCCCTAAACCGCCTGATCTCATTTCTTCATCTCTCCTCCCAGATAAAAGTTTCCTTTGCCCGGGAGTCGGTTGTTCCCGGCTGATCCCGGGAAGCCCCGCCTGAGCCCCGGTCCCGGGCGGGCAGCTGGGAGCCTGGGCGCCGCTGTCACCCGCGCCTCCGCCTGTCACTTACCGTTGCGAAAAGCGCCGGCCAGGGCGAGGGCGAGGGCGAGCGCGGCGCAGAGGAGCGGCAACCCTTTCTCCATTCTCCCTTTGCCGGGTCCGCAGGCAGACGCGGGAGAACGAGGACGTGGGGGAAATGCAGCAAAGAGGGGAATCCAAGCGATCCGAAGAGCCCCAACTCCGCCTAGAGCTGTACAATCCTCAGCCCGTCTTGGAGAAAGGAAAGCAGCAAGGCAATGCCTGGATCCGAGAGGAACGCTTCTCTTTTTGTGTCTCAAGTCGCCTGCATCCTGTCATTTAGCTCCGGCTTCCTCTCCCTTTTCCCACACTTGTTCCTCTTCCAGGAGCCACTGCCCGGGCCATGTCTCAAAAAAAAAAAAAAAAAAAAAAAAGGGAGGGGGGGCTGTGGGTGGGAGCGGGAGGAGGGAGGTAGGGCAACACACACCAAAGCCAATTTCCAGGAAGAAAAAAAAAAATCCGGCTTGTTTCTGGACCCGTTGGAGCCGCGGAGCTGGCGCCCAGGGGAGGTCCGGGTGTCTGCGGGAAGGAGAGGAACGAGCAATGAAAAGATGAGCGGGAGACAGAGGAGTTTCACCAACTGCACCCCCTCCTCCCCTCCTGCGGCCTCCCCCCACTCCGGAGCCCTTCCCTCGCTTCATCCCGCCCCTCTCCCCGCTCGGGCTCGCCTGTAATTGCCTGACAGGAGACTGGAAGGAACAACTTTCCCTCCGAGTGCTCTCCCCGTCCGTCTGTCTGTCTTTCCCGGAGATCCTGCAGGGATCTCCGCGGGAAGGAAGGCGCTGGGAGTCTGCGCCCCGGGCGCGTGGGTGCGGGCGTCGGAGGAAGGGGCGCGGAGGTCGGTGCCAGCCGCGGGGTCTGGCCAGCCCACCTCGCGTGCTCGCTCTGCACCCCTAGAGGGAGAGCTGGGCAGCTCCTGGAGGCGTAGATCCCGCTGCCGCGCAGTGCGGAGCGCCCGGGAGGTGGCGGCTGCTTCTCGCAACTTCAAATCCTGGGGCCCGCGCCCGCGGCGGCGAGGAGCGCAGGGTCACCCCCTGCCACTCCTCATTGCGCCAGCCTGAGACCTGTGGCGGGGAGCAGTGGGGCACCCCTGGACGCCCCCGCCCAGAACTGGAGGGCGAGGAGGGGAAAGCCGGGCTGGAGTGGAAGCCGCACCGCGAAGAAGGGAGAGGGGTGGCAGTGTCGCTGCAGTGTGAAGCGAAGTCAGACCGCCTGGGCGGGCGAGGCCGGGTTACAGCCCCACGCGGCCTCACTGGCCCGCATCAGGGCGCGCGGCTGGGTGCCGATTGCTCCCGGGTGCCCTCTGCGCGCCGCGGAGGCTTCATTGTTTCCCGAGATTTGGTGCCCGTTCCTCTGGGGCAGAGGGAACACCGGAGTGGGGAGGTGCTGCGCTTTCCAAGCTGGGGGGCAAGCGCCTCCCGACCCCGCCCAACCTTGTCTGGGAGCCCAGGTGCTACGGAGGGGTGTGGAAATCAGGGGTCGGGTGACCTCCGTTTCTCTGTGCATCCGGAGGGAGGGAAAGAGTGACGGGGGAGGGGTGCTCTTGGCTGCGCCCTCACAGTGCCCGCTCCCAGCCACAGGCAACGTGCACGCCGGCCCTCGAGCTCCTGCCACCCCCACTTCCCACAGCGGCGCGTGCCCCCAGCCCGCTGGATGCCCCCCAGGCCCATCTCCGAGGGTTTTCCGAGAACTGTTGCAGGAAGCGTGTGTGGATGCGAAAAGCAAGGACATTTCAGGGAACAAACAGGTTGCGGTCACCGATCAGTCCCCAGAGAAGGGTCAATGCCCACGGGCCACCTCCCAGGGAGTTTGTGGGTAAGGTGAAAAGGTCACACACCTCCTGGGGATTGGCGTCTACACACATAGCCAAAGTGCAGCCTGATTCCTACCTGGCACAAATAGCTGGCCAAAGGGAGGTAGGAATGCTGGCAAGGAGACTCTGGTCAAAGGTTTTGGCGGAAGAAAAAGGGGCGGGCAGGAAGAAAGCCCAAGGCTCGCGGGCCCCAGGCCAGGACTGCGCGCTCGCGGCTCCGGCTGGGCGCAGTGACGCGCGTCCCTCGGGGTGCAGGCGGGTCCCGGGCCAGTGGGGGGTGCACTCGCGGGGCCCGCACTCGCCACTCTCTCGCCCAGGGTCAAGCCTATCTTCTCCTCCCCACGAGCCCCGGGATTCCCGGTCGCCTAGCTGGAGACTCAGCCTCCCGGGCGCCTCCTTCCTCTGCTAGTTTCCTCCTTCTCAGCTGTCGGACCCTTGGAAGGCGCGGAGTGGGAAGTGGGCACCGAAGGGCTGGGAGTTAAATGCCTGCGTTGAGCGGAAGAAGCAGTGTCGAAGCCGTGGGCAGCCCCGCGCCCAGACAGGCGGGAGGCGAGACAGGGGCGCCGACCGCGCCCAGCGCAGACCCCGAGGGAGCGAGCGCCGCAGAGGCAGCCCGGGCTCTCGGCTACTACCCGCGCGCGTCGCCGCCTCCCCAGGTGCAGCCCCGCCAGTCCCAGCTCCTAACCGCGCCGGGTGAGAGGCATCATCAGATTTAGGGTGACCCGGAGCGACCTCGGTCCAGGCTCGGAGAGAGAGGCGCCTCTCAGGACCTGGCAGGTTGACAGGGAAGGGGAAACCGGCGGGAGCGGCGGCCACCCGGCCTGGAGTCTCCGAGGCCCGCATGCGTCCTGGGGGGACCCGGCCTCCGCGCTCGCTCCGGGACGCGCGTTTGGATCTCTCTGCGCCTCGGCGGGGTGAGCTAGGGGGCACACGCGGGAGACTTGAGCTGTGTTGTTTTTAGAAAACTGCCGCCAATCTCTCTTCCCCTTTCCCTGCTGAGTGTGCATTTCCCAGCCTAGACCCGCCAGGCCAGCAAATAAAGCCACCGGATCATGCACTCCGGAGCGACTGCCCCCACCCCGACCTTGTGCCCACCGCTCCCTACTGCCTTTCCCAAAGGGAATGGCTCCTCCGGCGCCTCAACACACAGGAAACGCCTGCCTCCAGCTGAGCGCTTTTGCCAGCTTTCTCCAACCAGCGAATAAGGGATGCACTATGGACTCAGAAGGAAATGTCATATTTAAGTTCTGCCTCTGATTTCCCTGGTTTTAGCTGATCTGAGGTTTTTCTAGACTCCTCAGCTTCCACACACAGTGCTGGGTAATGGAGCCCTACCGTACTGATTGAGAATTGCCTGCCAGTGGGTTGGTACAGAGCGAATTGTCCTTGCTAATAACCTTTTTCCTTTGCTGTTGGATTCCACTAAGTGGTGAGAGGGGTCAGTTTTAGATTTTTGCAATTCCCCAGCATGGAGACAGGCCGGCTGTATATGAGAATAAGTGATAGACAGAGGAAGAATTTGGCAGTGTTCCCGGGTTGATTTTATTTTGGTCTCTAGAGCACATTATTCTTCCTGATAGAACAAATCCCTGGACTTGGTAGGACCCAATTCCAGGGAAGGAAAGAGTACCCTACCGCACCCCCAGAACGCCCTGCAGAGGCTGTGAGTGGGCAATGCCCAGTTTCCTGGACTCCCACTTAGGGGGTGCTGCAGAAATAAGGCCTTCAGCTGGGGCTCCCTGAGTCGGATTGGAACCGTGGTCCATCAGTAAGAGTAGCCTGGGTGGTAACTGCTCCATTCCTTTCATCAGGCTCTCATCCCTTTGTCAGAAATAGATGAAATCCATTGCTCCCAGAAGGCCATTTGAGCCACTAACACCCTCAAAGTACTCTAGATTCATGCAATATGGAGATTCGGGTTGATAGTTCAAAACTGCATCACGTCTAGTCAAGTTTTTTGAAAACATCAAACCCATATATTTCAGAAAAGCAATACAACACCATATTTTTAGTAGGAGCTAACCTAGTTTTGAAATGTATGAATAGATGAAGTGAAACTGGAAAAACATTAAAAGTTGGAATTGTAATTAACTAGTGTTTAAAATAAGCCTATTAAATGTGGTTATTCTGTCAAGTGACTCTGTCATGCGAGGGTGTCATCTGGGCCTCATTTTTGTCCATCTCCTTGATTTGTACTGACAGAGAAGGAAGGAAATAAACAAATGAATCTTTCCTTTGATTCTATCTTTTTAGCCTTTTAAAATTTACCTTGAAAATTCATCAAATATTGGAGAAACGACTACCGACTAAAATGTTAAAACAAAGTTACATTGTGAAGTTTTTGTAATACAGTATTTTTAATAACCAACAAGATGAAGAAAGACAACGCTAAATTTTGAATCACATTAGATTCAAAACATTTGCTAGAGTAGAGGTTGTAGCCGTATTTGAAAACTATATTATTTGTCGGAGATAATAATATTAAATGATTTTGCCTTCATTGGATTACTTTTAAATTGGGAAAATTAAAATAATTATAACCAACAGAAACGCTCATCAAATCAATAAAGACATCATTAGAGAGAACATACTCAAAATTTGAAAGGACTGTTTTAAATAGGGCAATCTTTAAAATATAATTTGAGCAACCAAAATAGAAAAGTGGCTGCCTCTTAATATTTAATCATAGTTTTATGTAAGTAGCTAAAATTTTAAGGGATTTCGAAATAAATCAATAAAAAATAATTTTAAAATTATCAAACAATGGCCACAACAGTTAAGAATTGTTGAATTTACTCTCAAAGAATGTGATTTCATTTTGTATTTTTATTAGATGACTCTGGCATTTGCCTGTAGAATGGGTTATGGGTGGTGCAAGGGAAGAAATGAAGAGACCAGTTCTGAAGTAACCATAGTAGAATCTAAAGGAGAACTTCAACAAGGACCTGGCAGTGGAGATTGGAAAAGATGCATTCCAGATGTACTGAGAAAGTCTAACAGGACAGGTGGTGGTGGATAAGCCAATGAAGGAGAGGGTGTTACCAACAGTGATGCATAAGACTCAGGCCCTCATCACTGATGGGTGCAATTGCCTTCATGTAAGCAAAGGGACACTAGCAAAAGGTTAATTTGGAAGGAAGATCATGAATTTGATTGGGGTTAGGTTCAGTTTCCGGTCTCTTTGAGAAAAATCAGATGAGTTAGGAATTCAGAGGAGATGTTTGGATTGGAGATTTTAAGTTTGTGAGTCACTGACCTGTAGATGATGGCAATTAAAGTAGAAGAAATGGATAACATTGCTGAGGAAATTTCAGGAGACACAGGATAGGATGTTAAGGACCCTTTAAAGCCTGGATTGCCACAGTGAACTAATAAAAGACCTTGAGAATGAGCATCTGGGGAGGTAAGTGGAAAACCAGGAGGGCCTATTGTCATGAAGGCCAAGAGGAGGGGTAATTTCTAAAAGGAAGCTCTGGACAAGAGTGGAACATTATTAAGAGTTCCACTCCAATGAGGACTGGAATGCAATTGGACTTAGTGGTATGATGGTTACTGAGAGTTGACTCTTCCAAGAGTCATTCAGTGGGGCGATGGAGGAACAGGACTAGAGACCAGATTGCAATGGGCTGAAGAGTCAATAGAAGGTAAAGAAAGAGAGAAAACAAGTAAAGATAAAATTCTCTCTGGAAGTTTCTACTAACGGGGAGGAGACAGACAATAGCTCTGGAAGGAAGAGGTATGGAGGGAGGTTGACTTTTTATTTTATTTTATGTTTGCTTTTAAGATAGGGCACTTGTGAACATTCTTGAATGCCAATGGATAGAATCTCGTATTGGGGGATATGTTGACATTAAACTACTGAAAAGGTAATCAGGGTGTTAATTGCCTGGGATGGCAGGAAGGGATACAATCTACTGCCCGGATAGACAGATTTACCGTAAGTTAAAAGAGGGACAGCTGCTCTGTTATAGCATTGGGGAAAGAGGAGCTGATGGGTGTGATTACAAGAAGATTTGTCATTTCAGTGGGTGGGTTGGGGGGCAATTTCTCTCTACTCTGGTTTTCTCTGTGAAGTAAGTCATACCTTGGAGTAAGAATGACAGTGGAGGAGAGGAGCTGAAAGTCCCTGGAGAACAGAAAACAATTGAAGGGGCTGACCAAAGAAGCTGTTGTTATCATGTTATTGTTTTGATAACTTCATAAGTTGAAAATTTGAGCTGGGAGCACATTTTCTATAGAATGCATTCTCCTAGAAAAATTGGCTAGTTTTTCATGAAACTCAAAAAAGTCTGCTTAACTCATAAGGAAGTAGTAATATAATATGAATGGTATTACTTCAGCTTTAGTGACTCAAAGTAGGTGTTCTATAAATGTTCCTTTTTAAAAAGAAAATTTTCCAACCATTATTTACAGCACATTAAGGAATGTGTCTATTGATGTGCAGGAAAAGTTTCCCCCAACCAAATAATTCTTTGTAATAATGTCTTCACTTCCTCCCTGCCCTGCATTTTCTTCTTTGTGCCTTATCCTCCTAGAGATAAGCAAAGAAGAAT